ACAGAACATCAATCTATAAAACTGCATGTGTTAGAAAGTGTATTAGAAAGAACTTAACTTCCTTCTATGTATACTATATACACCAATACTATAAAAGAGTTTGCCAGAAGGAACTGAAATGAAATTTGTAACAGAATTTTAAAGCTAATTTATGTATTTTGTGTGTGTATGTGGGAGGGGACACACATGTACCATGGCACGCATGTGGAGGTCAGAAGTCAACTTGCAGGAGTTGGTTCTCTTTCCTCTGTGTGGGTTGTGGGGAACTCGGGTCATCAGCCAAGTGTCTTTATTCACAGAGCCTTCTTGCTAGCACTGTAACTAAGTTTAACACAAGTAAAAAGCTGAAGTGAGAATCAAAACTGGTAAAGTTCCCTTCCCACAAAAGATTTACAAAATCCTAACAAAAACTTGTGGGGTTAGAGTCATTCCAAAACTAGACCCTGTCAGTGCCAGCCTCCCACAGCAAATGAAGGAACTAGATGACTTCTATCATTTCTCATTTCCTCCCTCTGTGACCTTCAGGGATGGTTTTTGTTGTTGATGTCATAGTAGTCTGCTTTAGGGTCTGAAACACATTGGCTCTACAATGAAGTGACCACAGCTGTTTTAATGGGCACTTCATTATCTCAGGTTCATACAGACCATGGCCTCCATCACTGCTTCTGTCACCAAATTTTCATTTATGCCCACGTGGATACGAAGGAAGAGCCTGAAGGATTTTTCATTGCTGACTTAAAGGAGCCTGGCTTGTGCCTTTAAATGCAGTGCAGTTTGCCTGGGTATAATAGTCTTGGCTCATGGTTTTTGTCCTGCACCTTTGCAGCGATTGCACAATTTGGACGTCAGTGTTTAAAAAAGGCATCGGAAGCTACCTCTTTTTTCATCTTGTCTTGGAGTAGCTTGACTGCTATTTTGTTTGTATGGGACGGTCTTCTGCATTCCAGAACGGCCATGAACTAACTTACTATGTAGCTGTGGATAACCTTGACCATCTGATCCTTCCCGCTACTTGACTGCAGGAATAACATTTGTATCTCATTATGCTGGGGATCAAATTTAGGGCTTCCTGAGTGCTAGGAAGCCATCCAGCAACTAAGCTGCGTTCCTGGCTCGGGTGGACTGACTGTTATGCACAAAGTTTTAACTGTCAAAATTAAAAATCTTCCTCAAGATAGGACTTAGTGTTGGAAGATCTGACAATCTACCCTGAGAAAGATGGAGAGCTCTTCCAGTATGTACATTTAGTTCTTTCATTTTAGTGAATTGCTTCTACAATACATTTGAATACCTTTTCTATTCCCATTCGTCAGTTTCTCAGTTCAGGAATGTCAACAGTAGATTATCTTCATTCTCTGTATCATTTGCCATTTCTGTCATCTATTATCTCCTCCTTCTGTTTGCTGTAATACCTCAATGTAGTCAGAATGGTTTCCATGTGTTAGTAAGTCTGTCCTTCAGCTCTGGTCTGGGGAGATGTTTATCTTTTTTTCATTGTGATTTATGTACTTACAAATGTTTAAAACATGCTCTACCCTTGCTATGTGTTTTGGGAGAGACGGTGGCAGGAAAAGGTTTGAGTAACTCCACAGACCCGCCCAACACGCATTCTCCTCTAGGTCTGAATAGCAGTTCTGCATCTATCTCATGCCCCATTCCTAATGAACATATAAACATGCTTGGGGTTTTCTCTCTCCCTCTCTGATTTCCATTCATACTTCTCGAAGACTCCTTTTCCTGAAATACAGTTGTAGGTCTCTTATCTGTTCACAGAAATATCTTTCATCTGGAACAGTCATTCTTTTTTCAAGCCATAAGTTTTCCCTTCCTGGGATGTCTGGTCATCAAGTAAAGTGTGTAATGGGAAAGGTGGCCATAGGTACAACAGCCAGGGCCCAGCCAGGACATCAGAAGTCACTCCAGCTATTTAACAGAACAGATTTATGAATGGAAGAGACAGAGTTTACAGCCAAACAATTGTATTTTATATGACAAAAGATGAGTCCAAGTTACCAAAAATACAGACATGGTAGATAGAGAACACCAGCAGGACATTCTGTCAGCTTTAGGAGAAAGGAGGAAGCAGGGCTTGCAGAATTGAGGAGCTGAAGCCACACAGTAAAGTGTGGAGCATTGACAGTGGTCACGATCTGGACAACGGACAATACCCACAGGATGGTGCAGAAACAGAGGGACAGGGTGAGAGGAAGACCCTTTGGTTATCTGTTCTTTAGTCTTTTATCATCATTCCACCACCCAGGCCTATCTGGATCACAGAGGGCTAGCCACCTGGGGACTAGTCTTTCCACACCTACTAATCAAACAGTAGTTGTCTAGGATGTCCAGGATGTTGGCTCTCTACCTTCTGTTGTCTTGGGTTAGTAAGAAATCATTCCTTTGAGGAAAATCTAGTTAGGATTTTGTTGTAGAAATACTGCTTTTAGGTTCTGTTTGGAAGTTTATAGGTCATTTGATTCAGAGTTGAGCTTTATCTTGAGAGTGTTCTGTAAGTTCTTTATTGAGAGTGTCTGTAAGTTCTTTATTGCCACTCTCTCTATCTCCCCCTTTAGAACAATTAGATAACTATGCCCTATAGTGAAATCCCCATATTTATTCATGTTTGTCCTTTGAATATTCATCCTAGGGGGCTGGAGAGATAGCTTGTCAGTTAAGAGTACTTGCTGCTCTTGCAAAGGACTCAAATTTGGCTCTAAGCACGCAGATGGTGGCCTCCAACCACCTGTGACTCCAGCTCCATGGAACCCAGTGCCTCCTGTGGCCTCCAGGAGCACACTTAAGACACAATTCAAAGTAAAATTAAAAAAAACTTTAAAAATTGACTCTGATTTTCTAGATGTATCCTTTTAAAGAGAATTAAGGTGGTGGGTGGACTTAAGGCTACTTACTGATCGGCTGGTTTGAAAGCGGCCTGAGCCCCAGTTAGCTAGATGGACCTCAGATGATCACAACGGTGTTTTCACTTGGTGCTGGAGATCAAACCTTGAGCCCTGTACACACAGGAGAGAACATCCTGAGCTGTACCACCAGCCCTATCGCAGGAACCTTTACAGGTGAAGGCAGGGAACAGATGGGTCCAGTTATGTAGTGTGAGGCCATGGTCCAATGTGGTTGCTTTTGAAGACAGAGAAATGGTCTTTTAAGTCAAGGGAAATAGGTGACCTATAGGAAGGAGCAGAGAAAGGCCAGGACACACAATCCTCTGAGGCCCGAGAAAGGAAGGCAGCTTTGCTTCTATCCCAGCTTAGCCCAATGAACTTCACTGTGGATGTCAGGCATGCGTAGTTACAAGATAATAATACACCTATTCACTCAAGTCACTCAAATTATGAAGATTTGTTAGAGCAGCGACAGAAAGCAAATACCATAAGGTCATCATCCATTGAGCTCTTCTCCCAAAGAAAACAGGCAAGGATGATCCAGTCAGACTTACTGCCAACATCACCGCTAATGGGTGTGCCAACTCTTAAGTTGAACGGAACGAACTCTCTGTGCCTTTTCATGTTCAATTTGGACTACCCCAACAGATTAGCTTCATGCGCAGAGAAAACATGTCTGGGAGTTAGTAGTGATTAGAGCGAGCCACGTTTTCTCCACCTCTCAGTGTCCCCAGGAGCTATTCTGTATTCCAACAAGAATAGAAACAGGAGAGTGGGTACCTAGAGCTCATGAGCACAATGAATCTCCCTCCAACTTTTAAAAACATCGGTTCAACTATGGCCAAATGCCGAGCATCTGGGAGGCCAACACAGACCTCTCAGAATGTGAACTCGCGTGGTTCCGTGGGTGCTTAAAGTTCTAGCCCATCTCGCAGAGCACCGCGGGCTGTTTGCTTGCAGTTCTGGTGCCTTGAAGTCCAATATCTAGATCTGGAAGAATTGATCTCTGTAGAGATGCCTCTTTGTGTTCATAGCGCTGTCTTCTGCCCATGCCATCTTCATCTGATGGTCCTCTGGTATGTTACTGCCCTAATTTCTCAGAAAGTCTCCAGTCCTACCGGACTGGGCACCATCCATTCATTCTAGTTTTCCCATTAATCACCCCTAAAAACTTTCTTCCAGCTATAATTATGTTCTGAGGTACTGGGAATCAGGATTCATATTTGTAATAGATGAAAACACACATAACATATTTTTCCTTTTGGGAGATGAGGCCTCTCTTTCATGGCCCAGCCTATGATTCTCCTGTTCCTGCCTCTTGAATGCTGGAATTTCATGTGTGCATGGCCATACTTGGATAACACGTTAGTTTTGTTTACGGCAATATTTAAACTGAGCCCCTCAAAGCACAAAGATTATTGAGCACATATTCAGAAAAGCTAAAATGAAAACAATATTTATCTTTACATCCAACACTTGTGTATGAGAAATTTATTGTTATCGGATCTCTAATAATAATAGCTAGAGGATAAAGACATGCCCAGAATTTTATAAAAAAATGAAAAAAATGGGATTTCTATTAAGCCCCAATAATGACCAAAAAAAATTAGCACTAGAAACAATAAGAATGTTAGAAAATGCATTAATATTTGTAAATGGTTGCAATGACCATTGAACAAAATTGCAAGGTATTAAAACAATGACCTAAAACTGATGATTTGTCAAGGCCAGCTGCCGCGTAGCCACTTACACAGAATTGTCTAACTGTGAGGGTAGAGGTGAGCTCCAAAGTGACCCTGAAGGACAAAGCTAATGCCCCTGGCTCACTGTACATGAGAACGAGGCTCCTGTAGCACCGAAGTCACACATGGATTTCCACTGTTAGGAGGAATCTGGAAGTAGGAACACTTCATAGCAAGTCTAGGTTACACCCAGCAGGGTTGCACTCAAGGTCTAGTTTGAATACGATAGTTGATATCCATCCTTTTATTGCTCAGCTCAGCTCTAAATATCACTCCAACCACCTGAAAGTTAGACATCCATAACCAGCAGCAGAAAAAGTCTAGGAAGAAGGGCTTTGGATGAAATTCAAGACTCGACAGCTTTTATCCTTTAAAGATACTTTAATTTGCGGTTATTGATGAATTAAAAAACACATTTTCAGCATTTCCTAGCTATAGTAGTGCATAGGAAATTACACTCTAAACGAAGAATTAATGAAATAACTGCACACCTTACATCTTACACCAAAAGCTTACAGTTTACAAGGTGCCTTTACACACATTATTTCATTGGATTCTTACAACAAGCAGGAGGAAAGAAAAAACAGTCAGTGAGAAAGAACAATCATCTAGTTTAGGCTTACAATGAGCATTTTTTTCAGACTGAGGGGCAATCAGTCCAGGAACATACCAAGAACAAGACAGCAATACCCATAAGCCACGGTATCCATTTGGTAGGCTGACGGTTTGATATCAAGTGTATATTTAGCATCAGTGGGGCAGTACGGATGATAGTCAAAGGATTTTCAGGGATTTGTAAGAGGTGAGGAGGGTTGCACAGAAATGAACCACTGTACAGAAACTTACTTCAGAGTATGGTGTCCCTGAAGAGTATCAGATAAAGAGGGGACCCTGACCTAACATGGGGAACTAGAAGGGACCCCAGAAAGTGCCCATCCAGCTCTTCTGCTGTCTGCAACGGACATCACTCCAGTAAGTTTCACTGTCGATCCAGGCTCCTTCCTGTACCACGGTATTTCTATTTTTTCTGGACAAAAACATCATTTCTTCTGTTTTGTGTAATATAATTGGAGTAAAATACTTTTTTTGCCACTGACTTATTGTTTCAAGTTTTAAGAAAAATCCTTTTGGCTACACTGTGGCTAAAAATGGAAACTTTCGGTATGTTAAGAATATTCTGGTTTGGTGTACTTGATTAGTCAGACCCCTTTGATATATCTGACAGTTTGCTCATCTACTTCAAACAGACAGTGGAATGGAATGGCTGGGAAGCCACAGAAACCAATGTATGTCTAGGGGCATCTACCTGGGCAGACTCTAGCTGGGGACTAATGATTTCATAGAAAAAAATATTTTTAGGATTCATAGAAATCTGTTCAATTTTGAAAACTAAAGTATAATAGTCAAATTGTCATCCCCATGATTTATTGAAATAATTTTACAATAATATACAACAATGCTACCAGAGAATTTGTAGCATACATAAAACACAATGATTAGCATGTTCTTGGGTTTAAATGAAATACAAAAAAAAACTACTTTGTACAATGATGCTTTTAAGTTATTAACACGATGATATATCTTTGTTACATAAAACTTGCTACAGCAGAGTATTTCAATTTTTCTTGCACATTTTAAATACAGGCGGACCAACTGAAATCATTATTTGTCGTTGTGGGACATTACCATGCAGAAACCCTTGACAACCAAAAGACATGCAGATAGGTGGAGAGAAGGTCTCAGGTAGGACTTCTCAGTGTCTTTAAGGGTTAGTGAGGGTGGGTTCATATGAACAGGACTGGTGGCAATGACCTACCTGCACCAGTAAGGAAGCAGATCGAGGTTTTATATATATATATATTTATATCTATACACACGCATTAGGGCTTATTTGACTTAAGACAACCTTATATGCTTGTAGGTTGCTCACGAAATGGAACATTTTAAACCATTTGGGTGAGTTGATCATTTAAGGTAGGTCACTGATACAGAGAGAAAATGAGATGGAAAAATTAAAAGCAATGAAAAACATAGTAAAAAAAAGTTAAGCCATTTATTCACAAAGGAACACTGAGCTCAATGTGCAAGAGTGCTTGAAATCCCCCAAGATGGCAACATTGTGAAGTCAATTGGCAAAAAGTATAAAAAAAATTAAGGAAACGCAAATATTATAACTGTATCTGCATGATCATATACTCTGTCCACAAAGAAAAAGAGGTTAGAAATGCTGATGTATCTAAAGATATCACACCTCGAAATTAAAATACAAATGTGGCAGTTTCTTAAGCTTTGCCTCCTGCCCCTCTGCAGGGGATAAAGTTGAAGTTGTGACAGTGCCCTCATCTTAGTAAGTCACAACAGTAAGCAACAGCAACTTCTCGTTCTTACCTGTTACGAATCGAAGCAAACAGACTACTTCCCTGAAAGGGATCCCTGTAAGCAGGGATCAAGGCTTTCCTTGACTTAGTATTTATCCAAATCCGTGTTTCCTTTAGTTTGCACGTTTCCCATAAGAAACTGCCGATGAGGACTATCTGAGAAATCTCACAAGGTGTCACTTTAGCAGTCATGCGCTCCTAAAATACTGGCTAAAACCCTCATGGAAGAGTGAAGGTTTAGAAACCTTTGAACGCTCTTCTAGCCCACAGATGCTGGTACCAGGGAGATGGCCGGGCAAGGAGCCACATCCCTCACTTCCCCTGACAAATGAAGCATCTGCCTGGTCACTTAATTTCTCACAGAGAGAAGACTATTAAAAGGCAAAGGAAATGAAGCCTCTGGCCCAGGGATCCAAACTGCTAGGCTAGCCACGCTGAATTTACTGCCACACCACTGACTCCTGAAAAGTTACTATCTTCACTTACGCATATTCCCTTGGTGGTGAGACATTCCATCTTCAAAAATTGTAAGAGTTTTGGCAAAACTGAGTCTGAGCTACTCAAAATAATAATAATAATAATAATAATAAAAAGATCGTTAGAGAGTTTATCTTCAAGCCACTGGTCAGCAAAAATGTCACTCAAAACTACAAAAAGCAACACGTAGCTTTCCTTTGATTATCACACAGCCATAACACTGCCACCTGGGCACGGAGAAAATAAAGTGGAGTACCGGTCAGAGAGGGTAATGACAAGGATGGAGGAGGGTGGAGAAAACGACCCAAACAGCAGGGCACTGTGCACACTGTGCTATGGCACGGACAATGCGAGCGGAGCGGTGCCTTGGTACACAGCGGGCTGCAGAGTGCACACTGATGATGCATTAGGACCTCACTCAGTTGCTGGAATGAAGGAACTTGGTAACTGCTTCAACAAGCAGGGCTCGGCTCCACCTTCCACCTCCACAGCGTGCAAAGACTAGTGTGAGCTCGAGGCCATCTTTTCCCTCCCTAAAATTCACAAAACTCTTTTCCACATTTTTCTGTTATAGACACACGGATTTCTTCTTCTTCATAGTCATCGAAGTTGCTGGTATCTCCAGAGCCTCTGAACTTTGGTATGAATGGAGCCTCAACCTACAGTTGACATCAAGAGGGAAACAGAAAGAGAACAACTCCTCAGAGAATTGCACACACTAAGAACAATGAATCCCCAGCATGTACTCACTCTGCATCTTTAAATAAGTCCTTGATATGCAATGCACTGTAAGTCAGCTAGAATCTCACATTCTCATTTGAGATTAATGAGCTACCAGTATCAAAATTCTGGCTATAAGTTTAGAAAACTACTTAGTTTTTATTAATTTTTTTGCAAAGTCTTTACTATTGTTTTTCAAATTCCCTTCTCCCAAGGTTAACTAATAAATCTTATATGTTTAAACTTTTCAGATTTCCAAGTGTACTTAAAGCATCTGAACATCAAAAGTCTAAGTAGAAATCATCTCACAGAATCACAGAACTGCCAAATTCTAAGCATTTCATCTCAACTCTGAAAATAAAATGTCTTTCCATATAATCTTATGGTGTGCTTAATGTGTGTGAGGACAAATTTTAAAAGCTGAAGTGACTGCTGCAATTTACACATCAGATATTGGAGTTTTAACCACACACAGTTGTTTCCACCCACCTTCACTTTAACAGACTGCAAGAAAGGCATTCCCACCCCTATTTTAAATATCACAAAAGAGTGTTAGCCAAACTCACACCACTAACCACTGAAGCAGTTGTCTCGTTAACGATTTCCCACTATACCTCATAATGTATAGCTGTTTATTTATAAATTATTTCCATGCATGACTATATCAGTGTATCATAGGTTATAGATACAATAGAAACATGAAAATATAAAGATACTTGAAAAGAACAAGGTAAGAAATAAGTGTAAGTGGAAATTTTAATATCATCTTCTGCTTCCCAGTTGGCTGCCTGGGACCACATTTTATCCTATACAGAATGAGCCAAGTAGACAATTGCTTCATTTCTACCCACATGGTGCTTTCGAATCAGACCACCTCTACAGATGACTGAGTCGTCGATGCTGTCCAGGCCACTTCTGTATTATATATATTATATATTTATTTTCATGCTAGGTGCACTTGGCCATTGCATTGCTCATAAACACTAGTCAGGGAACAAAAGGCTGTGAGCTATTTAAATTTACTGTCTTAGTTTTGCACCGCTAAATGTGCAACTGAAAAGAATTGAAACTAATGTCTACATTAAGGCATTGATTATACGCTGTGACTATTGCCACTCCTCACCCCTGCCTCTCTGGTATTGGAGACTCAGCTGTCCATCAGAGTGCTTCACGGGGTGACCTGGCCTGTTACCATGTGTCACTTCTGGGTAGTTAGCGGTTTACTATTTGGGATGAGTCAAGCCCTTTCTGAAACACATGAAGTCTGGATGGGCAATAGCAATTCAATTCCACCACAATTTTAGAAAGATTATTAATTCCTGTGCAACATGGATAGATAAACATGTATTTACTGAGTGTCAGCTCAAAATTTTATTTATAAACTATTAGTAAGAAAGATTCAAACTACTTCAGAACTCTTTTTTGGGGGGGGGCTTGTTTTTCAAAACACAGTTTCTCTATGTAGCCCTGGCTGTCGACCAGGCTGGCCTTGAACTCAAAGATCTGCCTGCCTCTGCCTCCCAAGTGCTGGGATTAAAGACATGCACCACCATGCCTGGCTTTATACTTCAGAACTCTTTAAAATACTAACAAATCACAAACACATCACAGAAATGCATACAAGTACAACAGTGACTAACAATAAATATAACAGAGATGATAGGAAAAGTAATGATAAGCAGTAGGGATAATTTTACAGGAAAATGTCAATCTCAAACTGGCTGAAGGGTTTCTGCATAAGAAAAGTTGCAATTATATGGGGACTTAAACACTGCCGAGTGCCAGAAAATGGCTGAATAAATGTGGAAGCACGTTCCGTTCAGAAACAGTAACGTGGATAACAGTTTAGCACTAGTAAGGGCCTAGTCAAGGTTCCTCAACAATGCCACCGTAACAACAGGCTAATTGCTGTACAGCAATAAACAAGAAACTGGAGCTCTGGGAGCTGGAAGGAGATGGTGTCAAGCACTCTTTTACAGTGGCTCTGTGATGAGGTAGCAAGTCACCCCAGTGGAATGTGTCCTAAGCAGCACTTGTGACGGAAGCCTGAAGCTGGGAACTATGGCCATGCTAGAGACAGCAGTGACAGGGAACACGGGAAGAGTGGGAGACACCCGGTGTCCACAGAAGCCGTGTCTGGGGGACCCCACTTCGTCTACTCTGGGGGGACCCCACTTCATCTATTCTGGGGGACCCCACTTCATCTACTCTGGGGGAGGACCCCACTTCATCTACTCTGGGGGAGGACCCCACTTCATCTACTCTGGGGGAGGACCCCACTTCATCTACTCTGGGGGAGGACCCCACTTTGTCTACTCTGGGGGACCCCACTTCATCTACTCTGGGGGGGACCCCACTTCATCTATTCTGGGAGAGACTCCACTTCATCTAGTCACAAAACTACCGGAGTGTAAAAGCAGCCTGGAGTGAGCTATGTAGTCCTTCTCAACACACCGAGTCCTGCCGTATTCTCTACCTTCACCGTACTTAAGAGTGATAAAGCTCATGTTTACACAGCGAGACGGTGTGCTCAAGATCATACTGCGCTGGGCAGTCACCTGACTCATCTCATGCCCACATCTAACATACCTAGGTCCAGAGGTCAGCGCTCTTTCTCTCTCTGTCTCTCTGTCTGTCTCTGTCTGTCTCTCTCTCTCTTCTCTCTCTCCTCTTGCTACTTCCCTCTCTCTGTCCTGTTGAATCAGCCTTCCCTTCTCATAAAGACTCAAAGTTACAAGTTAAACAGGTGGTGTGCGATATCCGAATGTTTTACGGAACAATGTGCTATTCAACACTCTGTACCTTCTTTTTAATAATAATGTTAGAAGGAACTTAAAAAGCCTGTATTGTGACTCATACCTATAATGCCAGCACCTGGGAAGCCATGGCCAGAGCCTCCCCCAAACCTCCAGCTTGAGGATAGATCTGCATGGTCCAAACCCTTGAGTTACAAGGTGAGACTCTATCTCAAACAAACAACAAACAAACAGACAGACAACACATAAAACCCAGAGGCAGGCCAGGCAGATTTTAAAGTCGTAACCTGCTGAAATTTGAACCTGGTGAACCTGGGATCAAACTCAGATGCTATGCGGGAGCAGACATTAAAGCATCTACTCTTGTCAGTAAAATGAAAACCAAAACCCCAAAACCCCAAACCCCCAAAACATGAATTCTCTTTTTCACAGGAAACCTTGAAACTGACAAGAACTCGTGTGGAGAGGCACAGAGCCCGTTTTAGGAGCTGGGAGTCCATGTTCATTACTAGGTCCTTATTTGTGACTACATAACTAACACTTTAGCACTGAGCTAAAGGTGCCAGAGCTGCACTCCCTGAGCTTGGCCCTGAGCTTTGGTGCCCTGTGGGGCACAGCGACCACACTACCCTCAGCGTGTTTTAGCCTTGCTATGCTGTTAGCTGAGTCTTAGATTCTTCCACAGCTTCGTTTTTCATAGTCTTTAAAATGTTAATGAATTAGGAAAACTGCTTTTAATATGAAATAGAGCATTAAATTCTCTTCCCTCAGGAAATGTGCTCTGTGGCTGTTCCTCATGAACCATGGCAAACTTCAGAAACAGCAGAGGCTTTGGCTTTTCTGGGGCTGGGGAGGGGAGAGCTAAATATATACACTCCAAGCAAGCTATTTTTAACTCGGCATTTAAGACTGAAAGGAGAGATAGAGTTAACAGAGCAAAATCTTTTCTTAAATTTCCCAGTTTATCGGAATAGAGAAGTGATTGCTATTAAGTAACAGCGTGCTGCCATTGTGGCTGGTGCCGCTGACTGCTGAGAAATAAATAAAGCTGGTCTCTTTAAAACGCCGTTGGCCAGCGAGAGCCGTGCTCTATTTAACCGTGTGCCACACTAGTGCTGGAGATGAGCTGACATTTACAATAGTGCTCCCGGAACGGCTAACACTAGAATCTTTCTAGTAAGCAAGTGAGCAGGCAGGAACATCTGGGCTCGCAGGGGCAATGCTCTCTCTGAGTCCTTTGATAATGGTGAGCACGGCAGACTGATTGGTCTCTGATTCCTCCTAGTTGGGGGACTAAGGTCACTCCACTAATCTCACCATGCCCTCAGCACCTTCAGCAGTGCCCAGGGCCAGCACAGGGTCCCAGTGACTACTTGGAGGAATGCTAAATCAGTAATTCCTAAAAGACAAAACACAGTAACGTCAGGTAATCTGTTCTGACTTTCCCCAGAGCATGCATTTAGTCTCTCCCAATGAAGCCTTCAAAGGGACAAAGGCCAGTTGTATCTCTAGGACAATGGGTTCAGTTAGCAATTTGGCTACGTGCGGGCTGCATGGGTCAGTGGCGTCTGCCGGAGACAGGATATGAAACAAGGAAGATAAAGTTCCTGTACTCTTGAAATACTTTAACATGACAGTGAGCGTATGAAATGGCGAGGAAGGACATGCTTCAGGGAAAGCAGCCGAGAGAGAGCGTGATTTAACTGTCAGGGATTGATTGGAACACGGAAGGTGAGAAGGTGGGGGAAAGCCTTGGGAGCGGAGCCATGCAAGAGGGCTTAACGTGTGAGAAGGCTGGTCTTCCTGGGGAGACGGAAAGAGTGGCACCCCTACTAAATGCCCACAGCACGGCCAGGCCAGGGTAAAACTGACAACATTCCCGGGACCTAGGCTGACTCAGGGTCTGTCAGGTCAGGTCCCGATTCTGGACTGTACTCAGTTCTACACTGTCTTTGTAATGGGACTTTTATCAGCTTTGAAATGCAAACCTGTAGAATACTGTCTAAAACCCAATTTCCACAGTATTGACAAGAGTCAGCACGCACCGGGAACACTTAGGCGGGAAACCATACAGGTTTCTCTTTTACAGAGAAGGCACTTGGAGAGAGACCCTGCAGAGGGTTAGTTTAAAAGGTAAAACCATTTTAAGTGCGGAAGTTGAGAGCATCTCAGCGCCAGGTGCCAGCCACCACTGTTTCAAAGCTTTGGTTAAGAACAGAGGCACACCTTTCTCTGGTAAATAGCAATCCAGTCAGTCGTGGCAAACCACTTGTGGCTCTTTATGTCACTCACGCCGTTCTTCAGGTTGCCGAATCGCTTTGTCAGGTCCACCTGCAGCAGGTTCCGGAGAAGGTCCTTGAGGTCGGAGCTGAAGTGGGACGGGAATCGGACCTGCACAGAACAGCGGGCGGTGAAGAACATTCCAAACGGCTGGCGTCTGCCTTACTGTCACACAGGCTTCGCCCAGGTGACACATCATCACCTCCAAACACGCTTCATGACATTCTTAAAGGATGAAATCCACTTAGGTAAAGAACCAGCGTTCTCTGAGAGCCTCGTTTCAGTGGTGAGCTCCCTTTAAGAACATAGAGCAGTCTTTAGAAACTGAACCCTTTCAGAAGGCTCACCCATCTTCAGGAGAGAACCCCAGCACATCATAAACCTCTCAGAGATACCAACTTACACTTGTAATCTAAGTGGAGCAAACACCGCATGAAAGCTATCAGGATGTGCACTTGGAGAGGAGGTCTACCAAACGAGACCCTGAAACGGGCTGCAAACACTCTCACGGCCTTTGCCAGCACAGGAATCCATTATATTTGTTACAGAAAACCTTTTGAGCAGAATTCTGCTATTGAGAAATAGCACAGAAATGCTAGGCGTAACTCAGAAGAGACAATGTTAGAATGCAGACGTGGGGGCTTAGGTACGCTGCAGGCCCGCTTCCCAGGCATGGATGAGGCAATGGAGACGTACGGGGATCACGTGGCTTGCTTAAGGCCGCACAGGGACGAGGCAGAGCACAAGCCCCAAACAGACATTCGGGCTTCAGCACACACCCTTTTCATGGTTCTACACCACTCCCATGACTAACAGACTAAAAAACGGTATCAAGAAAGTTAAAACTTTTCTGTAACGTTCATCTTTCTTACTAGAAACAACTACTGCAAAATCGGGAGGGTCTGCTCTCTATGTTAGTAAAATGGTTTTATGAAAAAACAGGAACTTCTCGAAGGAAAACACAAAGGGAAAGTGTGGGAGTCGTGACAACAAATAACAAATGCTGTCAGGATGGCAGGCAAAGGGGACCCTCACTTGCCATTGGTGGGGTGTTAATTAATCAGTCACCACAGACCCAATCAGGAGGCCCCACAACAACAAAGCCAAAACTACTGGGCGGCCTAGCTTCATCACTCTCCGGGATTTGACCAAAAGAGCCCAGGTCAAGACATCACTGAGATCCTTGAACATCTGTATCTGCTGAGCACTCGTCATAATCACCTAGGTGTCCATCAACAGATGAATGGATGAGGATCCTTGAGTGCCACTCAAAAATGTTTTCCCGAGTTTCACACAGGCACATAAACTACACATGCATGCATAGATGAGCCGAGAGAATTGAGCCTGAGGCTAAGGCGGGGACGACGAGGAAGACAAAGGTATAGGATAAAGAGCAGGGTATCTGTTTTTACGAAGCCCATCACTTTGTGCCATGAATATTTGCCATTAAAAGTGATGGCATTTCCTCCCATGGTTACAGGGGATCTGATTTTCCATTCAAAGAATGGCATGTTCCAAGTGGCTCTGACTTGGCTCAGAGTGGAATTTGCATGAAGTGTACAGAAGTAATGGACCAGTGATGCTGTCCATGATGCTCACAGTTGCAGACAGTAATGCAATGCACATAAACAATTTCCTGAATTCAGATAATGTGCTATAGAATGCAAGCACCCAAACAAAGCAGTTCTGTATTCTGCGGTAGTCCTGATTAGTCAATATGGGTAAATGTGTGTGTAAGTTTACGTTTAATTGGGAAGTTTTCCCATTATAGATGTGCCTCCATTGCCAAATCATATCCTCTTCTCTAATGATGTTGACAGGTAGCCCATGTCCTCCATGGTCCATGCTAATCGTGGAACAAAAAACCTGGATTCAACAATAGTTCCCATGAAGGGAAGAATTACTAAATTTTCCTCCAAAACTACTATCAAAAAGAGAACCACTTTGTCATTCCTATCGACTAAAACACTTCAGAGGGTACAGTCGCCAGTGTGGCTTTGTGCCAGTGTGCCAGGGGGTAGACGGTGGGGACGTGGCTGGAGAGGCAGATGCTGAAATGAGGGAGTCTGAACCCACCAGTCCATCGAGGCTGAGATGAGGTCACTGGACACTCGTGTGCTTGGCCTGGGAAAGGCATCTACAATGTGACATACGCATCCTTGAGGGCTTGCTTCTATTTTCCCGAATTTAACTTCTGTGATTCTTTCCCAGTCTTGAGACCACGTTAACTATGAGTTTCCTAATTGTGCACTGCTCAGGTGGGATAACTACAGATTTGTAGAACAAGCTCGCTGTAGAAGACGAGCATCAGAATTGTCTGCAATGCTACAGGACACAGAGACTTTTTAGTGCCCTTAGGGTTGGGTACCAAAGACGGACACCACAGCATCCAGGCAGAGATCACAACTGACAGACTATATCCAACATGTAAACCTGGCCTGATCATCTACGCCGACCTTAATAAATGTATGAATTTGAATCCACTCTTAATGTGAGTCTGCTGTGTGCTAGGCACTGACGTGCAGCCTCGGCCATCCATCCTTCTATGGGAGCGGCAGGATGGGCATGTCCTAAGAGCCACTCTCGTGACTCAGGTGAGGGGGGTGCTGACATGGAGGCAGTGAAAGGCACTCAAAGACAGAGCCAACCTGTCTTCCCTGTGTGTTGGGCGTGGGACCAGGAGTTGCAACGCTATCAAGCTGTTCCTCTTAAATTCTCAATCCCTGACCCAAAAGACTGGACTCAAACTCCTGGGAGCTAGTCATCATTTTGCCTCAATCTCTTCAGGCTGGAGGATGACAGACACCTGCCACCACACCTGATCAAATCTCCTCTGCAGAAATAATTTCCAACTTCCAACCTTAACTCAAATTAATACATATTGTGTGACCTATGGAAAACTCTTTCACCGTTTTCAATCTCAATTTATCCAATTAGAATATGAGGGAAGATATTTTATTTGACAGTATGAAAATGTATCTAACATTTGTGAAATGTTTTGGCTTTTATTTTATTACAGTAAATCATTTTCTATCCTTTCAGTCTTTGTTCTGAGGCTGAAAGAATTTTAATCAAGGAAGGAGCTTAAGATAGAAAGTCTATAATCAGTTTCCAAAGTATCCAAGTATAGTCGATGTTGAAGTTTTGATAGAATGGATGACTCTAGCCTTGTTTTAGAGGAAGTGTGCACGCAGTTGATATCCTACATAGCTTTATCACACTACATTATATAATATGTGAAGCTCAGTCTGAGCTGAGTAGAGTGATAAATCACACTGCTTTCAGCATCAGTTACAGGCAGGCCCATGCATTTCAATTTTGGAATAACTACTATTTTCTACAAATTTAAATGTACACATTTATTTCTCAAAAGTGAAGTCACATCCAAAAAGTAAACCAATGCACGTTGTTACAGCATCCGTGATTTAAATTCACTAACTGATTTTACTGCCACCTCCTCCCACCCCATTTAGCAGTAAGATAAGACTGAATCAACTTTGTCTTTACTGAGCTTAATTATAGAAGTTATAAAATTGATTTCTGGCTGATGGAGGGAAAGTCTTGCTAATATTCTTCAGTTATTGGCATGGGGGAAATATTATACAACTACTAACAGTTTTTATTCACTGGAATATTCACTGGTCACAGCATACTGGGATACATTTTAAGAAACCATTTCTCTAAATGAACTATTACAATCTCAGTAAAAGATATTTCTAGCAAAAAAAAGCTGTACATTAATTACATTTTCTAAAGGTAAAATATTTTCATTAACTAGGCCTTGCATAGACACGGTACCATTCACACTAGTCCTCAGGGATCACTCATCAGCCTGCATTCTGGAGGTGAAAATAGAGCCGGGGCATTAAAACACGTTTATAGACACTGTCTCTAAGGGGAGCATCCCACATCTAGATGGGTGCAGGGGTCTGCATTCACTCTCTTCACAGACTTCTCTGGAAGCAGGTGTCCATAGGATTATTAAATCACCAGGACAAAATGTTAAAACTGACCTTGGGTTTTATGAAATGCGCACAACTGCTTTTGTATTTCATGAACATGACATTTAGGGGCCTGGGACCCAGCTCAGTTAGTCAAGTGCTGTCTAGCGTGCACAAAACCCTAGGTCTCATCCTAGCACCACAGCATGAAACTGGTCTTCCTGGAACAAGCATGCAGGAGGCGGGGACGGAGGGTTACAAGTTCAAAGTCCTGCTTAGCTGCACAGTGAGCTTGAGGCCAGCCTTCAACACATGAGACCCAGTAAGAAGAAGGTAACATTTGAATACTTCTAGGTCAATTTGGCTATAGACAAAGCCAAGCAGAAAAGGACACTTATATTTCCTAAAACAGCAGCAACAAAGATACCTTAGGGGGGGAAAAAAAAAAACTCGTGGGCTGGAGAGCTGGCTCAGCCGTTAAAGGCTAGGCTCACAACCAAAAATAAGAAAAATACTCACAGCAGTGCATTTGTATATGTGTTTATTGTTTAGGATGCAGAATGTGTGTAGACAAGACAGCACAGTAGGTCTGAGACGGCTGGCCTTATAGATCACTGCTTCCAAATTCTGTGGCCCTCAGAGATCTGGGACCTTGACTGGTGCCAGTTCCTTACACTGTGTGAAATTCCCCTGAACAAGTGTGGTTCGTCATTCACAGATGTTACATAACATGGCTTATCTGAACGTGTGCTCTCATTTGGAGAGTCCCAGGACTTTGGTCTGTTTTAAGTAGACGGTGTGTGGATGATGAGCTCCCAATAAAAACACTCTATCATGGCTGTCACTGACATGTAACAGTCCTCACGTGCGTGTTTTGGTGACTTGATGTTGGCGTAGTTAAATTTGTTCCTTGTAGCTCTCTGGAGAGGCTCCTGAACCTGTGCTTGATCTCTGGACTTGCCTGGACTGCTTTTACCCTGTGCTCATCTGGCTTTGTAGCCCTTGGCTGTAAGAAATTGAAGCCCAATTACCAGCGTATCTTGGGCCTTCTGAGTCTTCCCAGAGTCACCAAACCAGGAGACAGACTTTGGGATCCTGACCCAGAAGGGGATGATCTTTGGCTACTAATCAGTTACCCTTCATGTGAATGCCGATTTCTCTTCAGCAAATTTTAGTGAACTCTTTGATCAGTGTCTAGTGAGGTTCCTGCCCTATATTTCCTGCAGTACCCTCCTGCTGCTCATAGAGAGTGGAATGATATTTACATTATACATAGTGAAGTTAAGACTCTTTTTCAAATTATTTAAGTCAAAGACTAAAATTATGTTTTTTTATAACAGCTGTTACTTGATTACTCTGTCTTCACGTAGCATTTTTGAACACAATATTGGTTTTTATATTCCCATGGGTAAGACAGTCAGATAGAGTTGCTGTGGAAACCATACCTGATTCTTGTTATGAAATACTGGCACTCAGACATGAAATGCAAGAGACTGAAGAGAAACACAGGGCATGCGTCACTAGGGTGAGGCACAGTGACTGAAGACTGCAGATTCTTTCTGTCACCACACATTTACAATCCTAAACCTAATAGTCATGAGCAATCTGACATTTAAATGCCACCTCCTCTGTTTTTTTCAAAAGCAAAACATGTGCAGAAGAGTCTAAGGGCTGACTGATCATCTCTATGTGCATTTAAGAATACCAGTTTGGGTTAAAATACTGTAGTATAGAAATTACTTAACAGTCTAATGTTCAAATGTATGGACTTAAGTGAATTAATCACATACTTTTGTTTTAACTTTGACATTGCACCTACTTTATATCATAGTTTCAGAACAGATCAACATGAACTATTATTGCATTATGGAATATATGTTGAAAAGATCAGGTAAAGCTATTCCTTTTTGTCTCATTTTGTTGGTGTTAAGAAAGTTCCATGGAGCCCAGTTTGGTCCTGAACTCATGGATCTCTTCCCTCTACATCCCAAGGGCTAAGAGTATAGGGATGCACCATTTCATGGACCTCTTGTCTCTACATCCCAAGGCCTAAGAGTAGAGATGAACCATCTCATGGATCTCTTGTCTCTGTCTCCCAAGGCCTAAGAGTAGAGATGAACCATCTCATGGACCTCTTGTCTCTGTCTCCCAAGGCCTAAGAGTAGAGATGAACCATCTCATGGACCTCTTGTCTCTACATCCCAAGGACTAAGAGTATAGGGATGCAGCATCTCATGGACCTTTTGTCTCTACATCCCAAGGGTTAAGAGTATAGGGATGCACCATCTCTCCCAGAAGGAAAAAAAAAACCAAAACCCTGAATGAAAAACAACTGAAAATTACAAATATAGACTCCCAAAATATAATATTAAAATTGGATTTTAATGACATAAACTATTAAAACATTAAAAACTCGTTATCTTCCACTTTGCTTTATCTACTAATGGAGGCAGTAAGAGTCTAGCAGTAGGGACAGAGACCCTTCTGTCTGGATTTGAATGCTGAAACTATTTTATGGGGGAGTTGGTGAATATGATTTGTATTTCACATAACACAGATTGTAGCGATGATGCAGGGGCAATATTCCAAGTCATGAATTTTGCTTTTGATGATAAGGGGTAGAAAACTATCCAACATGGAGAGACAATAAATGATGAAAATCATTCCCATCACTGATGTGACACAGTTTATGCTTTTTTAGAAAATATTTTTAGAAAATACTCATTTATGGGATACAAAATATTAAAATTTGACATGGAGTGAAAAAACATTCACAAACTGTTGAAAAATGTTGCTCAAGGGAGAATGACTGTCAAGCTGAGGTTAACTCATTCCAAGAGAGATGCACTCATTTTAACTAAAGCAGCTGTGCTAAGTAAACATAAATTTAGCTTACACAGCATCTTTGTTACAATTTGATTTCTTTTATGAAGAAGTATAAAAGTAGCATGGTAAAGGTTCAGGAGCTTTCTAGTTACTTCTGGTTAAATTATGTGAAACATTCGTATAATTTTGACATTTCTATTCAGTCTACATTTCTACTTGCATTAATAAAATACTCCCTTATTACCTTTGGTTCTTATTATCTTTTAAATTTAAGTATCCACTTCTCACATTCTTTCTTTCTGGTTTATATAAGCAATGTGAACTGCCACTACAGTGCACAGAAAGCCTCCTCCCGTGAGTGTTGAAGACTAATTGCACGTATGCATGTGTGTGTGTGTGTGTGTGTGTGTGTGTGTGTATGGATGTATGGATGTGTGTGTGTATGTATGTATGGATGTGTGTATGGATGGATGGATGGATGGATGGATGTGTGTATGTATTGTGTGTGTGTGTGTATGGATGGATGGATGTGTGTATGTATTGTGTGTGTGTGTGTGTGTGTGTATGGATGGATGGATGGATGTGTGTATGTATTGTGTGTATGTATTGTGTGTGTGTGTATGGATGGATGGATGTGTGTATGTATTGTGTGTGTGTGTGTGTGTGTGTATGGATGGATGGATGTGTGTATGTGGGGGAGGGGCACACAAGTTCTGCTCAGAGGACAACTTGCAGGAGCTGGCTCTCTCCTCTCACTGGTGACCCCCCCCCCAGGCCTGGAGAAGACACCTTTACCTGCTGAGCTCTCTCCAGCCCCAAAGCTCCAAAAGCTGCACCTTCCTTCTCTACGGACACCACAGGTGCATTTCCAGAAAGGTCACAAGCATGAGCTAGGGTAGGATGACTGGCTTTCAGCAAAATGCTTTCAGAAGAAGAGTTAGGGACTAAACGTGCACAAGTAGTGTTTATGGGATAATTTACCACAGTGCCATGTGCTCAGGTCACTCATGGTCAAGGATAACTGTTATTTCCTATTTGCTAAAAATCAGCCCCAATTATAATCACATTAAACATAAGCAATACTGTTAAAATCAATTCTGTAAATTCTTCTCAGAAAAGGCCCATCCACTTTATTTTTACTTCTAATTTTGATGTAATTCAAATAAGAAGTCTGTTTTTAGAACAGTTACATAAAAACAGTCCCTAAAACTGCTCTCCAAGTATAAATCCATGAGATCATAATTCTGATTTACAAGAATACTGTCAATAATTACAATCTTTAATAAACAAAACCAAAACTCTGAAAATGGCAGCTGCCTTAGCACCTTGTTGATATGTTTGTACAACGGCTCTTTGTCTAGAGAGTGCCAGCACAGAGTGCTTCTAGCCCCAGCTGGGGGAACAGTATGACAACGTGCTCCGGTTCTATCTGCCAACTTTAATCCACCCCAGATGACGAGGAAGAAAGGAATTATTGGGCGCATCACTTACCTTTCCAGAAACGATCTTCTCGTAAATCTGGATTGGTTGGTCTGCGAAGAATGGGGGATAGCCAGCGGCCATCTCATAGATCAGCACTCCCAGTGCCCACCAGTCCACCGCCTTATTATAGCCCTGAAAAAGCAGCAGCAGTGACAGTCACCAGATAAGTTACTCAGGGGAAAACGAAGACAATACCAGAATGATCTGGAAATGTACGAACACAACAACAGTTAGCAGCTGTGAAAAATTAACAAAACCTATCAGGACAGGTTTAATTAAATGAAGCAAATGATTTCCAGATATTGGGGTTTAATATTGAGAAGGACTGTTAAATCTTGTTCCTAAAATCACTGAGAATAACACTGAGAGTGAAACCTCTTCTGTTTCAGTGGGAAACTTTTGCTGCTATTCGACAGCAGAAAGGAAATTAGACCAAATTACTTCTGGAGACCCATCCTAAGCCATGACGTATACATTAGGTTTGCAATAGCATAGCTAGAAAAATGAAACAAAAGTAAAACAAAATTGGATTACTGGAACAATAAATGATGAAGCTGACTTCAGAACAGCCTATATTCTTGGACCTAAGCAGGTGAAAATACTGGAGACAATCATGTCTATTTCAGTATCTTTTGGAAACTAAAACTGAAATTTTCTCTAACCAGTATTAACATCCAAGTACAATGTGAAGTTTGTTCTTTGTGCTCTGTGTCATCCCTTGAAATTATGGGAAGGAGAACACATGAACTGGGTTTTGTGAACAGCATATCAAAAGAAAGGCATGTAGCGGGCGTTGGTGGTGCACGCCTTTAATCCCAGCACTCGGGAGGCAGAGGCAGGCAGATCTCTGTGAGTTCAAGACCAGCCCATTCTACAGAGCTAGTTCCAGGACAGCCTCCAAAGCCACAGAGAAACCCTGTCTCAAAACAAACAAACAAACAAAAACAAAAAACCAAACCAAACAAAACAAACAAAAAAAGAAGTACACCCATGAGCCAAATACAACCCAAACGTTCTGATCTATTTCATCTGCCATTTTTTATATCAAGATTACTAAGACCCACATGCAGAACACCCTGTAAAAGGATACCTATTGATAATGTTTATATTAGTATGTTTATATAAAGTTTGCTATCAGTCATGGTCTGCACCAACTAAAGATTATGTGGGGGGAAAACAACCCCACGTTCCACCTTTTTGTCACGATGTTAGCTTTACTAATCATTTAGCTTTCTAATTATCAGGTAAACTATAATACAATACAACATGGAGGTTTCCTTCTTTGCTGATTATATATTTTAAAGGAGATTTGTCATAAGTGGAACAACATCTTTCAAATAGGAGTAGGATTATGAGCTCACTTTAACTCTTATTTTACATTCTGTGAAGTGTTTATGGTAAACACTTCCATCAGCAACAAGACAACTCTTGGGAGAATTTAAAAATCATTAATGAAAACATTGAGATAACAGGCAAAGGACATACCCGCAATTTGATTTACACACACATACAAAGAAATACTAAGTGGTAATTACATATTTGAAAATATAACTCATAGTCAAATGTAACAATGAGATACCATTTATTGTCTTTTAAATTAGCAAACAGTCTTAAGTCTGGAAAGGATGTGGCAAAATAGATACTACACACACTCCTGATTAAGTGTATAAAATGCCACAATCTTGTTAGAAATCAACTTGGTAATTTATATCAAGGGCCTTAAACATGTTCACACCCTCTGACTCAGCAATTCCACTACTGAAAATACAGGAAAAACTTTACTATATATAAAATCTCAGAAAACTCTACAGACAACAAAACAACAGGAAAATGTAAATAGCCAACAACAGAAAAGTGAATGACTACTTTATGGTACATTTGCACACATGCATCAGAGACACACGTGCACACTCATGTGTGCATGAATGTTAGTGTAAGAAAACCCATATACAAGCTATACATTCACCATGATTTCAACTAGGACACACACTTAGGCAAACATACAAAATGTCTTTTCTTCAAGACTGTCTTTGGGGTGCTAGGACTCCATGAGTTTTGGGTTCTTCATTTTTCTACGATCTCCAAATTGTGTGCAATGAGCATTTCGTGTACTCTACCGTGTACACTTGTACAAGTTTTCACACTTATTTTGGGGTCACATCATTTGTAAGTGCATGAAAGGGAGAGATGTGTAAAGTTACCAACAATGACATTTAAGTTTTAAAGACTGGTTAGTCAGCTGTAAGAGACTAAGCTAACTTACGAACGGCGGCAAGGAGGCCCTGTTTAATCCGTCATTTCACAGGTCTCTGCACGCTTTAGGCCTGTGTCACGTCTCCTCACTTGCTCCTCTGAGCTCAGTCTTTTCCCTTTCCCTTCCCGCTTCCTCCGTCCAGAGAAGAAAGGGAAAAACGCAAGCATCTTTTAAGTGTGGTTATATGGCTACACTAAATGTAAATGCACTAGCGCCACAGTCTGCCATTTGGAAAGTAGTCTAGGCTTCAGCAAGGCTAAAAGGGTTTAATTGCTATATTTCTGCTATTAAACGAAGATTAGAAATATCTTTTGAACATTCCCTTCACTTAGGTGGTGAGTTGAAACAGAGCTGAGAACTGACCTGTCTTATGCACAGAGAAAGCCTCCTGCACTGGCCTGTCAGGGAAGAATCCTGACCGGGGCTTCGAAACGGGAGCCTGAAGGTCAGGTGGTTACTCTGCGTCTGTACTACCCAGAGCAAAAACTAACGCAGGTTAGATTTCTACAACTCTAGAGAAGTATTACTCAGGAACACGGCATGCACTGGGAGCTTTAACTCCCTAACTTAAAAGGCTTCTGCCAAGGACGCTCTGTCAGACGCCAGTGAGCTCTGCCTTTGTGGACAGCAACCAGTACCTTGCTGAGGATGATCTCTGGGGCCAGGTACTCTGGGGTGCCACACAGTGTCCAAGTTCTGCCCTTCACTCTTTTGGCGAACCCGAAGTCTGTGACCTAGAAAAGCAAACAGGAGCAGGTAGAGTGATCACTTCACAGAGAACAGATTACCTATTCCTAAATTCCAGGATTAAAACGACATCCATGGGGAAAGAGAAGCATCAACGTGACTGACAGTAATTCATGCAGGCAACTATTTAGTGAATGAAGATCAGAACAGCAAAGCTAGAAACCCTCTCTCAAAACAGTAAACAAATGCAGGGTGCCAGGTGCCAGATGTAAGTAATTAAAAAGTGAAAATGGACAGTAATATGAAGTATGAAAATATCCCTCAAGTCCAGTGTGTCTCTGGCTATGGAGTGTATCACCAGGGACAGGCTCTGTGGGCGTGGCTCTGCCAGGTAAGCCGCTGAAAGCCACGCCCTGTGCTAGTGACAGACCTGGAGGGGACACAGCCACCAACGACAGTCTGCAGTTAGGTCCCACCCACACGTCTGAGTAGCAAAGGCGTGGACTCGGGGACCACACTGGCTGGTTAAAACGCTAATTCTAACACTCCTGGCCATGACTGGGTCTTACAGCTTTAAAATGGTGACAAGAAGACTATTGACAATTCACAGGGTCACTAACAGTAAAAGAGCAATACAGGTTGAGTATCTCTTTTCCAAAATACTTGGGACCAAAAGGGTTTGCGCTTTCCAGGTTTGTTTGTTTTTTAAATATTCCAAATGTACAGTGAGACCCTCGAGACAGAACACACACAAAAGTCCATGCTTCTTAGGCCCCTTATTGTCACCGCCGGGAGGAGCCCCAAAGACTGTCTTTAGCGCACATTCACTATGCCAGTGCCATGAGGTCACATGAAGTCTCTGAGGGACTTTTCCCTTCAGTGTCATATCAGCATCGGAATCTCTGTTATGCGGATGTTCTGATTGAGGGCTGTTCAGCCTGCACACACGGGGCTTCCCGGCATTCATCGCTACCCCGTGTTCAGCTATTACTGTAGCTTTTGCTGGAGTTGGACTCTAGGAGAAATACACAGGCTCCTCCTGATGTGCGTTTACTGCTCTGCAGAGGCAGAGCGATGAATTCAAAACTTTTTCCCTTGGACAACAAAACCTGACAGCTGAGGAGAAATGTGTGAAGCTGTCTCTCAGTGCTGCCCCAATACGTCCATGAAAAGTTCCAACCCTACCTGGATGTAACCCTGGTGGTCAATTAAGAGGTTCTCAGGCTTGAGATCTCTGTAGATGAGGTCCAGGGAGTGGAGGTACTCAAACGTTAGCACGATCTGAGCTGCGTAGAAGCGGGCATGGGGTTCACTGCAAAGGAGAATGGTTTTCTGTGAGATGGGTAACGACCGCTCACTGCTGTACTATACTCGAAATGCAATTGGAGTGAGGTGTCTGGGGTGAGATATTTTTCACTCAAATGCTGGTGAAGAACTCATCATTTTACAAATATCTACTGCCTTCAAATAACACTGCTGCACATTTATGGGACATACGTCCCTTATATAAGTGTAAATATAAGATGCACTCAGGACCGTACTTCATGCTGAGGAAAACATCATTTTAAAATGGTCATCTTGCTGCAAATTATCCCTGCCCACACTGTGAGAGAGTGATGCCATTATAATTACAGCTGGCTTGAGAAGGATGGAAAAGTAAATGTGCCCATTCCACAGTCTATAAGAGCCACCAGTACAGTTGCCAGTCCATAGGCTTAAAGAGTTTCATTGTACAGAGTCTCATTTGTAGTCATCTGAAGACGAAAACTGTCTCACCTACTCTGAAGTAGTTCAGGCTGCACAAATGGCTGACACACGCTCACCAGAGAAAAGGCATGATGGAAAGTGAGGGTAAGAGGGAGGTGCCTTGGTCCCGTCTCAACGAGATGATGGGACAGACTTAGTAGACTTCCTAGGGGAGGCCTCACCCTCTCCGAGGAGCAGATGGGAGATGAGGGGAAGTGGGGGAAATGGGAGGAAAGGAGGAGGAGGAGGGAGGAGCAACTGGGATTGGAACGTAAAAAATAAATTAAAAACTTAAAAGAAAGAAGAGTGTGCAACCCTACCTACACACACACACACACACACACAGAGTATGTTTGTAAAAACCAGGTGAGCTTCTTATATATAGGCCATGTATCTACAAACTGTTCTAATGTTGACATATTAGTGTAATTTTTCATGCCAAATCTTAGTATTATTTGAAAATGGTACACCAAATTTCTAGTTAATTTTCTAGTACATTCATTGAATGTTTGCCAATTTGCCTGTCTTTAATTAAGACTTTCAGATTTGTGTCTTTACTGAACAACCTCTACTGTTACTATGATTTTCCTCAGGGAATGATGCCAGGACGAGAAGTCTCTACAGAGCCTGATGCATGCTGCTCTTTCCACCATCAACACATCCCAGGTCCTTGCCTCGCTCAGTCAGGTGCTCCATCAACACTGGCTGGCCTCAGGAACGTGTTAACACACTTTCAGAGTGGTGTTTTATAACCCCCCTCCAGTTTCAGCCAGGTCCAAACACTGGAGTAGGTAATGGGAGACTCCTTCCTATTTGGGGGCATGTAACCTCAGAAGCTGTGAGAATTTATTTCATCTGGAAGCCCCTTTGTATTTTTTCTCCTCGTGTGTATGTATGAGACCTGCTTAGTATCCCGTTTATTGTTGATATAGGCTGATGTTGGTAGAAAAAACATGGAGAATATGTAGTTCTGCAGTCTACAACTTAAGGCAGCTTGAAGTGGAGACATGAGTGTAAATGAGGACTCGGTGACGGGCCAGACAGATGAAGTCACACTGAGCAATCACTTAGATCCTCAATGCAGAGTTCACACAGCGAATGTCAGAACTCTGCAAAGACCGCATCCCACTGACTTATTTCAGCCAACTTGCTTTCTTCACAGCTCTGTGTGGGGCGTTAAAGAAACAGATGTGGGTAGCTGCAAAGCAAAGGCATAAGCGGTTGCAGAAAAGGAGGCACCGTGTTTTAGGACAGGTTTGGGTGTGGCATTCCAGTGTAAGCATGGGATAGCTACAGGGGAACACTGGGGCTGCTTAGACACGGAGACAGGAAAGAGGTAAAAGGAAATTATCAAAAACAAATAAATAGAAACCAATTTTCATTACACAGTCTCCATACATAGTAGGCTCCCCTGACACTAAAGGTCGATAAATGAAATCTTTGCCTAGGCACCAGGCAAGTCAAATAGTGGAGACTGGTTGCCTATCTGTTATTCTCTTGAGATAACCCCTCTATGATCATCCTATTATGAGTCATCAGTCCCAGAGGAACCCACACTTTGGTTTAACTGAGACTCACCTTAGGTTTGAACTGAATTCTGAACACTGAGTGAAACTGGTTATGGTCTTAATTTTAGATTCATTTCTTGATTACTAATTTACAGCAGCAGCAGCAGCTATAAACCGTGTGCACAGATAAAACTACCAGAAAAGCTAAGAAGTGCTAGTGATAACCAGTATGTTGCAAACCCCCTAAATTGTGTACATATTTAGGAAGCTGATATTAACAAAGTCTTTAATTAAATTGTAAAAGACTTTATAATATAATCTCACCATGATCTAACTGTTATTTATTTATTTAGGTTTTTTGAGACAGTGTTTCTCCGTGCAGTCCTGGCTGTCCTGAGACTCACTCTGTAGACGTTTGGCCCTGAAATCACAGAGATCCACCTGCCTCTGCCTCCCAAGTGCTGTATCACTATTATTTTTACATCTCTTCCCTCATATTCACTTACATTCAGATTTCTAACATAAATGCTACTGCCATTAACTATCATAAATCACATAGCATATATTGTTATATGTCTCAAATACTATTATTTTCTCAATAAATGTTGCATTTTAAAATTTAATTTTTGTATTGTTTTGGAAATTCTTCAAGCCATCTCATAATATTTCCCAATGGCAGAAAATTTAAGTTGACTTCATTGCATTCTGGTTTGGATTTTAAAGCTCATATATGGCATGACCTCCTATTGATGTTTCTACCTAATACTTTCTATGGATAAAATAGGGGTTAATAAATTCCAGTGTATTCTGGATTAAAGTAAACACAAGCATGTGAAGATTCAAGGAAAGAAGCCAGGAGCAACAGTTACCTGAACCTTCCAATTCTTCTTAGATGAGAAAACATTTCACCCCCAGGAACATATTCCATAACCATGTATAAATTAGAATTATCCTATGAACAAATAACAAATAAGTACCAATTATAAAATCTGGGTAAAAAATATTTCAAGATAATACCATGTTAAATTAGAAAGGAAAGAGCCAAACCCGTTTGACAGATCAAAAATCCGAGGGGGAGAGATATTAATTTTCATTAATATCTCTGGCCTTCCCATACTCATTCCACCCCCTTAGCACTCCAGCCCCAAGAAGCCCAAGACTTTTGCCGTTCCTGCTCTTCCAGGGACAGGTAACGTCTGGAGAATCAAACACTGCAGCAATGACATACTAGCACAGCTTACGCAAAGGAATAACAAAGTTAGAAAACAATTTGGAACCGCTAATAAGAATATTTACATCTTAAGCTTTCAAGATGGATGGCTTTAATATTTTAAGTATATAAGGCTTTATTAGATTTAAAGAACAAAGGACTAAGCAAAAACAAAGGCTGCCCATGATTCAGCCGTGCAGAGATGCCAAGTTATCGTTCTGAAGAGCTGAGGAGGCTGGGATCGAAAGGCCAACCTTCCCCACTTCAGCTGAGTCATGAGCACTGCACAGAGGTGCCTCTCCCCGGTTGCAAAACAACAGCAAAGACCAAAACCATAAACGTCCAGAATATAAATTACGACATGAAGAAAACATCCAGGTCATAACAGGAAGGGTTTAAGTGATGTAGACAGTATGTCCGGCATCATCATTTACATGGAGTGTAAGACTGACCAGGAAGATGTCTGTTTCTGCATGACTGTAACGTCTGGTTTTGTGTTGCCTTCCATGAAAATCACACAGGTCATCATCAGCTGCCCCAGGGAGAAGCAGAGCTCCCCCAATGCCCCAGAGCCCCAGAACCCCCGAGCTGATGAGCAAAGCCAACACATTGCCACTCTCTAGTTTTGTCACTTCACGGGAAGTCTACCACTGTTTCATACATCCAAGGGCACATCTAGACAGCATTGCAACTAACCTTAAAAGAATACTCCAGGCGGACAAGAAACGGAAACTCCACAGCCTGTAGTATCCTTTTCTCATTCAAAGTGTGCTCTATTTGCTTCAACTTAACCACCTGCAAGGGAGAAACAGGTACACTTCAGTGTGTTTAAACCAACTTCAAAGACATCACCACTGTAAAGAGAAAGTCTTCCATATAATAATCCCAATGGATACGTAGAATAAAGAAAATAATCAACCAGAGTGCTAAGAGTCAACCGTTCACAGCCTAACAGAGAATCCAGCCTTGGTCTTTAGACGGTCAATATGTTTCAGCCGTGGTGATACAGGTTGCTTATCCCAACACGACTACCATAAGTTCAAGGCTAGCCTAAGCTACACAGTTTGAGACTGGCTCCCCCACCCTAAAGTCAGCTATAAATCAAGTTAAGAAAAAAACCTTAATGGAAACAAAATATAGACCTATAAGATTGCTTTAAAAGTCACTGTGTGAAAATACTTGCTCTTAATGACATCAAATCACCTCAGTAAACAGCAGGAAATTAAAGGTGAAGGAAAAGTCAAAAATTGAAAAAGTAAAACAGTAGGCAAAAATGAATAAGCTGTTCAAACCATACTTGAAGAAATACAGCTAAAATCTAAAAATTCAATTTACATAGGCGGAGGAGAATATGGGAGAAAGATGATCTTTCTACCAAACATTACTTGGGAGTCATCAAGCAGTCCTGACTGGCCTCGCAGCAGCAGCAGTTCAGAAGTGGTCCTCTGTTACTCTAACTTATCTGTGCTGAGTTTAAAGGACAGATGGACAAAGCCCCAAAACCACCCCCAAAGGAGGAAATACAGGAAGGCAAGCAAGAGCAGTGGTTTCACTTAGCTGCAGTTAAGGATAGCTCTTCTGAAAATTCGGTAAAGAATGTGTCAGAGAAAGCTTACATGTAAAATTATATTTACATGTGATAAGTATATTAGCTAAAACACATTGTGTGGAAGCACTGGCAGATCACCGGCTGGTTGTTTTAAGGAAAAGAGAGGAGGAGTTATTAATAAAAGAGACAGGCCGAACAGCAGCCCCTCTGCAGGAAATCCCAGTGTCCTCTTGTGCATCTGCTTTCAAGCTAGAGAAGCCGATAAGGAGCATGTACAGACAGCGTGAGGAGAGAGACTCCGGTGCTTTTTGGGAAACAATTATGATAGGTTAGGAAGTAGGAGGTATAAGCTGAACTCTGTCTTCATTTAATAAATGTCAGAAACTTTCAGATGAGTCAGAGAAATGCGATGGGCTAGTAAGAAAGCATTTGGTCAGGGAGGACGAAAAGTAGAAGTAAAAAGTCTGGGGTTTTGGGAATCATGGTGTTACTAAAGTCAACTGGGCATCCCAGAAGGAACTGGAAGAAAGGATCCTGAGGATAAGGTGTATTTTGAAGGGGAAAATAATGAAGAATAAGGCACAGAAATCAGATAAACCTCAGTCAACACATGGGCTTAACTCACCAGATGTTAGACACTGAAGAAATTGAGAGGTGGTTAGCTTAAAAGGAAGACCAATGTTACATACAATTGTGAAGATTCACTGATACAACAGGGACATATGTATTATGTGTATGCATATGTGCAAACACATGTATATATTTGCACATGTGTATGTATGTGTCTGCCTGTGACCATATGTATAATATCCTAGCAATATCTGACACGTTGTAGTAATGTGATCTCTTTCATCTTGGTATTGACTTTTTTCCCATTTGTACACAAAGGCTGGAGAAGCTAAGCTTACCTAGTTGAAGGATTGTATGAACTTACAGACAGAGTTATTATCGTCTGTTATTTTATTACTCACCTCAAGCAAATTAAACAAAAATAAGAATATAATATCTTTCATACTAATTTATTCCAAGATTCAGTAGTCTGCAGTAACAGAAACTACATCAAATTCTAGTTATTCTTCTGAAAAATATCCATTACCATGACTTATCCATGAGGTAGTCACTTTGGTATTTACTCAGTATGTTTCTAGAAGCTAAAAATATCTTTCCAAGTATTTTAAGATGGTAAGTACCACTATCTTCTCAATGTTTTTTAAGTGAAGCATTTTATAAATTCTTTAAGAAAGATGACATAATCTTAGAAGCTATCTTGAGAACGTTTAATAAACACTGTAAAGGCAGGCTTACAAATACAAGATGAAACTAACGTTTCTTGTCTTTTTGTTACCAGCAAGAGCAGGCAAATTGCTAACCCTCTTTAAGATCCATTAACCTCATCTACAGAATGAAGACAGGAATTAAAGGACCTGCAAAAGCTGCATGCTCAGACTATACAGCATAGGGACAGAAAGTCCAAGACGGTTGAGGTTGGTGGATAAGAATCTATGTGGGGGGGGGGGAGGGAGAGAGAAAGAGAGAGGTGAGAGCGTGTGTGTGATGAAAGTGTGTGGGGGGAGAGAGAGAGAGTGTGTGTGTGTGGTAAGAGAGTGTGTGTGGTGAGAGAGAGAATGTGTGTGGGGGTGAGAGAGAGAGAGAGAGAGAGAGAGAGAGAGAGAGAGTGGTGACAGAGAATGTGTGTGGTGAAACAGAGAGAGAGACAGAGAGAGAGAGAGAGAGAGAGAGAGAGAGAGAGAGAGTGTGTCAGCAGGTGCACCAGAGCCTAAAGCTTAGAGACAAGCAATCCTTCAAGAACATGGAGAAGCAAAATGAAACAGGAAAGGCACAAAAGGCGGCCCACAGAAGTAGGCGGGGTCAGGAGAATGCCATTTCCATGGGCTGGGGCAGGCCATGTGAGGGGAAAGGTCATCACAGTCACGTGCTTAAAAAAAGCCACACAAGAGCAGCCCATCCCAGTGGCGTGGGTGTGGCCATTGTGGTCCTTGACAAAGGACTGCAGAGAGCAGGGGAGCAGGGGATGGTAAGAACAGCTAGTCTGTGGGGTCAGAGTCAACAGGAAGTGAGTTAGGGAAACCATTGCCTCAAGAAGAGTGCTTAGAAAATCTGGGAGTGAGGGCAGCTGGCAAAGATGTTCAAATACATGTATGTGCCCGTATCTTTAACTTTAAAGGCACTTAAGCCATTATCTCCTTTTCATGAGAAAGATGAATCTGGTTTCCAGTAAAATGATGTTGGAGCAGTCGGGTGTGATGGTGCCCAACACATGTAGTAAGTCTTGACATTAAAATGTGGCTAATCAGAGTGTAAAACACACAATGGATATTGAAGACTTAGTATGAACCTCAGTTAAGCACTACACACTGAGCTATTAAATATATCAGATTTTAAAAGTAATTTCAATTGCTTTATATTTCTTAAAATGTGGCTATTAGGTAATGTTGAGCCACGAGGACAGCCTCTTTATATTACATGTAAAGGACCACGCTATCTTGCTACATCCTTCTCTGACATTATATCCATAGGACAGTTACTCCATCACATCCTCCTGACATTATATCCATAGGACAGTTACTCCATCACTGACATTATATCCATAGGACAGTTCCTCCATCACATCCTCCTGACATTATATCCATAGGACAGTTACTCCATCACATCCTCCTGACATTATACCCATAGGACAGTTCCTCCATCGCATCCTCCTGACATTACATCCATAGGACAGTTCCTCCATCACATCCTCCTCTGACATTATATCCATAGGACAGTTCCTCCATCACATCCGTCCTGACATTATATCCATAGGACAGTTCCTCCATCGCATCCGTCCTGACATTACATCCATAGGACAGTTACTCCATCACATCCTCCTCTGACATTATATCCATAGGACAGTTACTCCATCACATCCGTCCCCTGGCAGCTTCCCCATTTTGATGCCACCAGTTTCCTACCTGGATCCCAACAGACTAAGAAGCCAGTCTCTGTCAAGTGACACCTGAGTAATATAGCAATATTTACCCATGTCTGTCCCTAAATTGTTAGTGTACAGATTCTGTCTGTGCTAGCCAACACCTCTTACACTGCACCCACAAACGATGAACACAAACTTAGTGACGTTAGTTACTGTTCCATTTTAGTTCACAGCAGAAGCTTTCATGCTTGACATGACTGGGTTTGGTCCATTTAAAATACCAATTAAGTTTATGGAAGAACTGTAAAACCTGTATTCTACATAAAACAACTTTTAATTGTTTCTGTATCAATGTGATAAACTAGGACATCTGAAGTATTTAATACCTTAAATAGTGAGCATTTTTGTTTGTTTGCTTTCCTAGCTATCACTAACAATTTAGAGACAGACATGGGTATGTGCTATCATACACACAGCAGTGACATGTCCCCAAATATTAAACCCTCCATCACATAGTCACAATAAATAATACACATACAAACAGCAACCTCCAGGAATTTCTGAAGATGTCGATGGCAGCTTATACCGCTAACTGTTTTAAGGAAGAGCGAGCAGGGCACAAGGACACCCACCTTCTGCTTGTCTAAGATCTTCATGGCATAGTACTGTTCAGTGGCTTTATGCTTCACCAGCATGACTCTCCCAAAAGAACCCGTTCCAAGGGTTTTTTTCCTTTCAAAATCTTCAAGCCCAGCATTACTCTATACAAGTATTTAGGAAATAATAATGCAAAAAAACTTTAAAATTAGAAATTCCCACAGGACTACAATTATTACCAGTCCGTGTTATATAACCATAGTGAATAATTTAATTGTAGCTTATTCATGTTGAAATGATACACATACACTTTTCATATTTCAGGTTATTCAGTCTATATTCTCCTTTGAGTAACAAAAGTCCAATAGTAGAAAATAATTTTATAAAATGGAGTATAAAAGTACTGAAGGAAATAAAAGCCTTGGCTAAAACATTAATGGTCATATTTCAACTCCACTGTGAATTCCTAACACAGCTAATAAGCTATGTGTACATTTTAGGAATTACAAACCAAAGTCAAATGATGTATATGGTCACAGAATGCCTGTAAGCAGTTGTATAAAATGTAAACTGAGAAGTCAGTTTTCATGCTTCTGAGGAAAGTGGTGTTCTTTGCGTATTTGTATGTAGTTACAGAACTAGAAGACAGCCAAACAACCAGCCATCAGGCACAGAAGTAAGAGAGCCATAGAACGGCATAGCACCTGTAAAACTAGATAATAAATAGCCTTAGCACTTGGGAACAGCCAGAACTAGTCAACGTCCTCAGAACTGTGTAATCCCGGGCTTTCTCATTGGGGTCGTGATAACCTAGCATTACCTAAAATAGGAAGGAGCGGAGTCTTCATTCCCCAAAGAACCAGAGCTCAAGTCTCAGAACAATAATCGGATTCTTTCCCTTCTTGAATAGCTGTTTTGTTATAAGCAAACATCTTTGTTTGGCTTTGACTAATGCATAGAAGCAAAGAATTAGAGGCATCAATCCATTCAATGTGTTGCTGCCACAACAACAAGAAAATTACTGGGAACAAATTGTGTGCTACCAACAAGTAGTAATTGCTGACCCGTCTGTTTAATAGGTTTCATTATGAAGATACTCATGGAAACCTCAGAAAAATATTTTCAAGGCTCAATCTGCAGCGTGTAGCTTGAGCTGAACCCAGTATGGCATGGCTCTTCTAGACGTGACAGATTGGACCCCTGCAGGAGTGTGTCACAGGAATTTAGTCTCCACAGTAAAGCAAATGCTGCTTTAGAGATACATCCAAGTTTGTTGCGGCATCATCACAGAAGGAAAGCATTATTATAGTTCGCTTATAAAATTGCAGGACATTGGTTATTTCACACTTGTGGGAACTTTATCAAAAAAGAAAAGTCTTCATAATTCTGATTGAATTAACTTTGTGGTTTTATATCTAATTTTTGATCTTACTGCCTTGCAATGGTTAATATCGACACCTGTAAGCAGTGGGAACAAAAAGTGTGCAGCAGGACATCACTTTATGTTTGCTCATTGATTTTTTTCATGTAATAAAGAAATGCCTTCTCCTTTGCCCCTTTCTAGTACGTCACGTGACAACTTGTGTAACTGAAAATTCGTGCTTCAGAAAACACTGAGCTTCTATCACAGCGATTTGGAATTAGTATCAACATTTAACAACAGTCATGGTACACAGCGTGGTGGGAGAGAGCTTGCCTAGGATATGTGATGGGCTACATTCAATTCCCAGGACTGTGTCAAGAAACAAAGTAACAACAAACACATATCTGCCCTTTAGGGGTTCTGTGAGAAGCAGGTTGCTTCTTCAATGGCGGTATCTGTAAGATTGTCAAGTAATAAGCCGGGCGGTGGTGGCGCACGCCTTTAATCCCAGCACTCGGGAGGCAGAGGCAGGTGGATCTTTGTGCGTTCGAGGCCAGGCTGGACCGATAGCCTCCGAAACAATACAGAGAAACCCTGTCTCATAAAAACCAAAAAAAAAAAAAAAAAGATTGTCAAGTAATAAATGACACCACAGCATTAGGGTAGAATTCCTACCACAGACAGTATAATTTGCTTACTAATAACACTTAAAACTAAACTTTCTGGAGTAGCAATTTAAGTTAAGCAAGAACTGTGTATTACTTAACATAGGCATCTCCAGTCACAGAAAACAAACAGCTTCCTTACCGGGGGAGGGTTCTCCCATTTCCTCAGAAAGTCTTCTTTGGCTTTGGCTAGAAATTCTTTCACTGGAAAAAAAGAAAACAGATTGTGTCTGGTAAGAATGCTTATGTCATGGTAAAGAAGGCATGTGGTTCTATGGACATAAGTACCCTATGGCAGCAACTGCCACCGTGTGACATCAGCTACTACAAGGGTAAGTGTGCCCACCGCGTGACATCACAGGGAGCTACTGAGTGCCTCCAACTTCTAAGGGCCTCCAACATTGCTCAATAGGGACCACTCCAGTAACTTCAATAACAACAATGTCCCAGAAAACATATCTGAAAGTCATGTAGAAGATACCAGTCAAGGACAGAATCGTGACTATTAATAAGCTGGAAAGGGTATTATGAAGTCTGCAACACAAGCTGAGGATATTCACATGTCTTGGTCTATGGAGTTTCGAGAACATTGGCTGTGGTAAAGGACAGTCCCAGACAGAGGATTTGTGCATCAGAACCGTGGTCTCCATCAGCAGAGAGCAAAATAGAAACCACAGACTGACAGCTACAGGACCCACAAACCGATAAAAGCCAAATGGAACAAAACACCACTAACAACACAAACTACTTTAAAAACTAGCTTTGAACTTGTAGTGAAAATTAAACTGAATGTCTAATTGAAAATTTACATTAAAATAAAGCCAAACAAAAGCTGCTGTTAACATAATGGCTAATAACAGCTGTATTTGTATGGAGCTGTGGTTTATGTTGTTAGATTTGTTAAGGAAAGATGAGTCATTTCAGAGCGTGCCCTGGTTACACACTCCTCCTACAATTCACTATCAAGGGCTTCTGTTCTTAAAACAAATTTCCATGTTTTAGAAACAAATAATGGTAAACATGTTTTAGAATTTTGATACATTTGTATATTTTGTGTGAAAAGTCAAAATACAATTGGATTACACAAGATCTCTTTACTATTTCTCTTTTATTCACCATACTCCTGACATTTCCCTGTCTGGCTCTATGGAAGAGCAATGGATAGAGAGTAGGACTGGAAGCCACAGAAATGGTCAGATGCTGGGGAAGACTTCAGAAATAATGGATGGCTTGGACTAAAGTCACAAGTATGCTAGACATGGTCGATCAGGTCTATAATGCCAGCATGGCGAAGGCTGGGGCAGGTGCACTGTGGTATGTTCAGAACAGCCTGGGCTACACAGTGAGTCCCAGGCAAATCTAGTCTACAGGGAGAAGGCTCTGTCTCAAGCACACAAGCAACAACAAAACTACCATAACAAAAACCAAAATAGAACAAAAAAGAGGTCTGAAATCAACAGTGGGAACCCAATTTATTATTTTTCACTTTTTTCTACATTTGGCCCAGAACAAACCAAAATGGCGCTTGGCATTCTGTTTTGCCATCTCAATAAGAGGATGACATCCGTCAATGGTAGACACTTGTTTTAAAAGAACACATACATTTCTGGGAATATCACTTTCCTACTTTCTAAGAACTGTATTATACAGTATTTCTAAAACATCTATTTTTTTTAAAAAGTGAGCCAATTAACTTTCAAAGTTAGGATCCTCATGTACTACAACAGTAAATGAACGAATTCAATCTAGGACTGGAAAAGTCAAGAGGTTTTAGATCATGGTTTTGGATTATAGCATGATCTTTGGAAAGCAAGTATACTGGTTGTAGCTGAAGAAGGTTGGTTTGTTTTGTCTGAGCTCCAGATCTCCAACCCAGGAGCACATAACTGGCAGGAGCTCTACTAATGAGGTTCATCCTAGGCTCAAGAAAGCTGGTCTTTATAAGCAAGTTTTTTTTTGTTTTGTTTTTGCATAGAATAGTGATGTCTGCACATGCCCATGACTTGGAAATGATGACTGGAAGTTAAATTCAAAACAAAATATGTTGGAACACACAACTGTGGCTTCTGAGAAACTACACTTAGTGATTCTGAAAATACATCTTCAGTTTCTCCTGAAAAATATTTTAGTTCTCATTTATAGATAGAACTTGTGCAAGTTATCGTGTATGAGATGCCTGGAGAAAGAGAGGCCCTGGACTGTCCTGCTGCAGCTCCTGTCATGACAACAGTGAGCAGATTTGAAGGAAAAGAAAAGCAACTGGTCAGCGGGAGAAGTAGGGGTATGTGACAAAGCTCACAGCTCAAAGACAACTTCTCCTTTCTTGGTGACAAGCTATGAGAAAGATTTCTGATGCGCTTCAGTGTGCCTCATTAATCTAATCTTTGAAATATTCTCAGCACTCATCAGTATTCTGAGTTCACTGACAAGTCACACTGAGGGAAGCCAACAGCTCAGAAAAGTTTTATGGGAAAACCATTACCAGTATGTACAATATGCACTGATAAAAATATCAAGTTTCAGTAACTTTAAACATATAAAGGCATTTCCCTTTAGAATTAAGGATGCATTAGCTATAACATCATTAAATAATACCATGAAGAAGACTGTTCCTGAAACATGATTTTGTCATATACAATATGTACAAACATGGAATCTCTAGGATGCATGTGCACTATTTAGATACTAAGACAAATATAATCAGATCTCAATAAAATAGCTGTAATATATGTATATGTATACATATATATAAATGAAATATTTTATATATTTAAACAACAGACAATACAGAACCACATGTATTTGCCATGGATTTTATTATTTTCAGATATGGATGGATTTAACTCCTAACTGCTTATCCATATGTGTTGTGATTTAAGAAGAGTGTCACAAGGGATAAAGATGTCATGCGACAGGGTTCAAGCAGTTTGTTTTGTTTTTTAACAAGGAAAGGGATCATAAAAAAAGGGAAAGGAGGGTTAGGGTGATGGCACATGCCTTTAATCCCAGCACTCGGGAGGAAGAGGCAGGCGGATGTTTGTGAGTTCGAGACCAGAGACCAGCCTGGTCTACAGAGCTAGTTCCAGGACAGCCTCCAAAGTCACAGAGAAACCCTGTCTTGAAAAAACAAAACAACAAGAAAGGAGCAGCAGGAGAAAGGAAAGAGGGGGAGAGCGGGGAGGGGAGAGAGACAGAGAAACAGAGAAAGACAGAGAAGAAGAGAAAGAAAGAGAGGAGGATGGGAGGTGGGCAGGGTCCTTTTAAAAGGGAGCACAGTGAATGTGCACAGGTGTTGCTCTTAGAGGCTGCCGCTGAGGGCGAATCCTGTCAGAACCCCAAAGACAGCCCAGTACAGATGCCTCAATACTAGCAATAGGTATTTTCAAAATTGCTACCCACTGACACGTTACTAAGTAACAAGATGAGAGGTAGGGAAGACAGGCAGACTCACACAGTGTACCTCATTCAATTCAATGTGTTACACAGCAAACACTGTGAGGCTCTCAAGTCTCAGTTTTCTTCTGTTCTAATACATAATCCATACAGACATTAACCTGTTGAGCCAGTGCGATAGGCTGACAGTTCTGGGAACCTGACACATAACAGCAATAGAGCTCTAGCTGTGTGGTCACGGAAGCAAAGTCTCAGAGTGTCTAACAACCACTCTTGGGAATAACACTTCAAGGTAGCGTTTGCTGCAGGGTTATTTTGCTCTGTATTGCTTAATAATGGAGCAAACCATGTACAAAAGAGGGTACACCAAAAATTCCATTTATTCATTTACAATTTTAGTTATTATCCAAATGACATGATTTTCTCTTCAGTTGTTGCCATTTCAAGAGTCTATCAAGTTGCAGTCTAGAGGAGAATAGCAAAGGAATCTATATGTTCACCCAGGGTTTGTTCTCATTACTCACCTATCCAAGAGATGAAGAAAGGTGCAACAAGGGACAGGTCTCACTCATTCCCACAAATACAAAAAAAATACTCATTTCTTATCACTCTTTCTCCCTCATCCTGGTGTTTTTGTATATTACTTGAAAATAAGATTAAAGCTCATTTTAAACAGGAAATTTAACTAAAACCTCAAGTATGGCATAATTTTAGCCATGCAATTCATGTAGCTCTACAACGAACAAGAATGTTTCAAGGGTGACACTTAACAAATTCACAAGGCGTTGTTAGATGAACTTGATAGATGCTTATCTATCATGACACATAGTGAGTCACACTGTGCCAAGGTCTAACTGTTAGATGCTATCATGAGCATCTCATGTGCAGAGTGTGTAGACTTACACTGAAAACGCAACCGCACTGCTACTGATGTTGAGCTCTACAGTCTCTAAGGAGATGCATCTCATCCCCCATCACACCGTGAAAGGAATGCCTTCAGTCCAAGTACATTAGAAAACAGAACCAATAGACTACAAACTTCCTGGGTCAAATGTCCAACTACAGTACTAATCCTTTCATTCAAAATTATAACACTGTATCTTCTCAAAAACATCCATCAACCTGGATAATCCTAAGTGACACACATTCACATGTCTTCTGTCTTCAACTACAACCTTCTGCTTCATGGTATTATATTTATTATCTGCAAAATATCATACAAAGACTGTAATACCTGTAAGATGGTCTTACAAAAATCCAAATAAATTAAACAAATCATCTCCATTACAAAAATATTTTATTAAGTCAAAATAATAAAATCAAACTATGAGAATAATAAAAATTTACAAACAACTGAACAGAAAGTTTTAAAGTAAACACTTATTTTATTAAAAAAAAAGAGTTGCCTACCAGATATGTCTGAAGAAGAGGAAGCTTGTGTACAAGAAACAAAATAAATGATGATTAAAATACACTCACAAAGTAGCAATGTTAGTATAAAGTCACTTAAATACATTTTCTAGAATATTTGTAGAAATAAAATGCTAATATAAAGCTCATTTATTTGACTGCATATATTCAAATAATATCCTTTAAAGTATCAAGAAATAAAATAACAACTACTGTTTGATACCAAAATTTGTTTCTTGATAATTTTCCTTAAAATTACAAGTGGTAGCTGGGCATGGTGATGTACTTCTTTGATCGCAGCATTTGGGAAGCAGAGGCAGGCAGATCTTTGTGAGTTCAAGGCTGGCCTGGTCTACAAAGCTAGTTTCAGGACAGTCAGAACTGTTCTACAGAGAAACCCTGTCTTGAAAATAATAAACAAAAGTGCTGTTAGAGTTGGCAACAGGTTCCTGGACAGTTGGTGAAGCACATGGGGACTGACGCACCACCTGCATTGGATCTCCAAGGATAAAGCGAAGGGTAGGAGAGCAGACATGTCACGCTGAGGTGATCTTGTACAAAAGGCATGAATTCATTGGTCCAAACGCAGTCTTTGGGAGAAAACGGAGAATGAAGCAAGGAGCATTCTGTCTGCAGTGAGAAACGGGAAAGATGGCCACCCCCACTGCTTTCCTACACCACTGCACAGTTAGCTAAAATAACAGTGAGACAAGGAAAGTCTAAGGAGCATTCTTTCTGCAGTGAGAAACAGGAAAGATGGCCACCCCCACTGCTTCCCTAGACCACTGCACTGTTAGCTAAAATAACAGTGAGACAAGGAAAGTCTAAGACCAGAACTGTCATTATTCATCGGCAATGTACGGTTGTCCATACAGAAAATTCAGGAAGCTCTACCACGTGATCTTAGAATGCACAAGCGGGCAAGACTGCTGAACACACCATCATTCTGTAAACCTCTACACAGTGAGGACTGAATTCAGGATTTCTCCTTTATTCTTGGGAAGTCTTTGTATCGGACTGAACATTTGAAGTTTAGGTTTGTGTTGTTTTGAGAGCGCCTCGTTCTGTGCCCACGGCTAGACTGCTGTGTGCTATGCCTCAAATGGGCTTGAACACAGGGCAGTCCTCCTGTGTCAGGCCCCTGCAACCCAGTGCTGGGATTACAGACACACACTCCCATGCTTGGCTTGAGTAAACGCGAAGTTTCGTCTCTGCTTTAAAAACCGTCCCAATTCTTCAAACTGAATTACCTGGCCCAGCTTAAACACAAAGGGAGGTGCTTAGTCAGACCATGTGATATGCCATGCTTTGTTCACTCCCATGGGAGGCCTGGCCCTTTCTGGACAGAAGCAGAGGAGTGGATTGAGGGGGTGCAGAGGGATGGATAGGAGGAGAGCAGGGAAGGGAAACCAGTTGGGGCATAAGGACTAAATAAAAGACGCAGCTCCTCCCTGTACCTGCATTTGCCTCATGCCTGCCCTCACCTCTGCGCTCTGCACCCAGGCTGTGCGCTCACAAACGCCTGTTTGCTCTTAACCTCAACACTTCACAATCGATGCTAAAGCAGCTCACATTCTACTTTCGCTACACGCCAAAAATTCCAACATACAGTTGGACTTTAAGTTATAAATTACTTCTCATCCCAGGAGTTATTGGAATTTTGTAAATCTATAAATAAACACATTTGTGTTTGTGAAGGAGCCTTTATTGACTGAACTCAAGTACTCCATGCCCAAGACTGTAAGTAAACAAACAAATAAAATCTCATGTCTTTGGAATTTGTTGAATATGCTTAATTATGCAATAGATTTTATAAGCATTTTTATATTTGTTTATTTTGTGATTACTAGGTCAATTTTGTTTTATGCATTTTGAGACTCAGGTATTTGTAGTTTTCATTTCTCCTTGTCATGGATGTTAAATGGTGACCCACATAATGGCTCTAATCTCTGAGATATTGCTATGTGCCCAGACCCTCACAAATGTGGGTGTTCTGTTCTAGGGTGGTGAATAAAAGCTTGAATGATACATTATCTGCAGGAAACACGGAGGGCTTGTCCGAGCAGAGACTCTGCACTGGTTTCTGCTGATATCAGTGTGTTACCAGCCTGGCTCTGTCCCAGCAGCGTGTTGTATTAGCAGCTCCTTAGACCACAAAATTGATATACATTAATCCTGAAGCCTGCTGATGACTTCCCAGAAGAGGCATCCCACAGGACTGAGCACACACACACACACACACACACACCTCACTCCTGACCCAGGCACAGGACTGAACACACACACCTCACTCCTGACCCAGGCACAGGACTGAGCACACACACACCTCACTCCTGACCCAGACACAGGACTGAGCACACACACCTCACTCCTGACCCAGGCACAGGACTGAGCACACACACACCTCACTCCTGACCCAGACACAGGACTGAGCACACACACCTCACTCCTGACCCAGGCACAGGACTGAGCACACACACACCTCACTCCTGACCCAGGCACAGGACTGAGCACACACACACCTCACTCCTGACCCAGACACAGGACTGAGCACACACACCTCACTCCTCACTCCTGACCCAGGCACAGGACTGAGCACACACACACCTCACTCCTGACCCAGACACAGGACTGAGCACACACCCCTCACTCCTGACCCAGGCACAGGACTGAGCACTCACACCTCACTCCTCACTCCTGACCCAGGCACTCAAGCCTAGAGACGTGGGCAGGGCTGGCTTCCCTAACCCACACTGCATTGGGAAGATCTTTCCAGGACTGCATTGGGAAGATCTTTCCAGGGTCCTGATCGCAGAAGCCCAGGCTGCAGGATGGAATGACTTGGCTTCTCTTTGAGAGGACACCTAGCAGGAAAGTCCTCAGCTGGCCTAGTGGGGCACACCTAAAATTCCTGCACCCAGGGGGCGGACCTCTGTGAGCTTGAGGATGGCTTGGACCACATAGTGAGTTCCAGGGCAGCCAGACATACCTAATGAGACTCTGTCTCACTACCCCTTCCCCCACCCCACCCCCCAAAAAAGAAGAAAAAGGAGGAAAGGCCTTTGGACAGCATAGTCTGAAAATCTACAGCTCATTGCCATTTCCCACCTGTTTTCTACACCCTGCGAATTTCTTCTAATTCTTGTAAGTTAGAATTTACTTCAGCATTCTAAGGCACTGGATCTTCATTTTGTTTCTCCCTCTCTCTTAGAAGGAGCTCTAAGTTATATGGCCTCCAGTTCTAGGGTTTGTTTTGTTTGTTTTTCCTCATTGGAAAGGTTTCACATGAGATTTTAAAAGGTAAAGAGACCTAGATACTTAGGGATTGATTTGTTTCTCTTAAAATTCAAAACTGCCACCAGAAAGGACATGGTGTCTACCTCTTTGTTACTTCTGACAAAGCACAATGGCTCCTGATTGGCAGGCTCAGGCTTCTCTTGAAGACGTCTTCTCAAGTGCTAGGTGCGTATAGTGGTGGTGGTGCATGCTGGAGGTCCCTGGCCCCAAAGCAAAACCCTTGTTTTCTTCATTAATTAAAACAAACAACAGCAACAACAAAACTGCTCTATTGTTACTATTGTCCTGTGTGAGAACCGCTCAATGAATTCGTAGAATGGCCTGCTTTTACACACGGTGGTGTTCACTTGGTAGACTTTCCTTCTGTTCTCTGAGACAGGCTCTCATTTTGCTGCGCCAGTTGCTGTTCTGTATATTCTGAGGCAGCGTCTGGCTGTAGAGCCAAGAACAGCCTCAAACTCCTGCATCGAGGTTGCAGATTGCACCTGGCTCCCAATCTCATAATTTCACATATTTATATTTATTTGTGGGGTATATTGCGTGGTGCATGTTCCCAGCCCCACCGTATCTATCACTCTGAGACAGTCACTCTGAACCACAAGGAAGCTGTTTTGGCTATAATGGCTGGCCAGCTGTCTCCACCCTCAGTGTTGGGGTTTCGGGCTCATGAAGCCATCCCGAACTGTTACGTGGGTCCTGGGATCCAAGCTCACTCAAGCTTGCACAAAGTCTCTTGCCCATGAAGCCACCTCCCCTCCCTGCACATTGAAATTTTTATCTTGCTCATTTCCTTCATATCCGGGAAGGACTTGCCAGGCTAGTGTATTTACTTTCTGACTGTGACCACGTGCGGGATCGCTGACCTGGAGCAGCCGGCTGGCTGCCTCACAAGCTCTAGGTGTGTGTGGTGTTTACAGCCTTCCCTTATCCCGGTGGGCTTCATTACTCCTCCTGGTTTTCAGCCCAGTCTTCCGCTGTCTTCTTACAGACTCACTTTATTTATGAATGTGTACGCAAGTGTCCATGTGTATGTGTGAACTTACCTACACTAAGTGGGCTTCGGGAGCTGGAGTCATAGGTGATCATATGCTCCCTGGTGCGGGTGCTGGGACTTGAACTCAGGTACTTATGACTGAACAGCAAAGGGTCATAACTGCAGAGCCATCTCTCCAGCCCTCTAGGTTTACTTGATTTCCTCTGTCCTATTCGTATTCACTTGAAATGCTGATTAGTCCAGATGTTCTCCATGGTTGTTTTCTTTTTTAAATAAGTATTTCTAAATGTAAGTTCATCCTTTCCTCTTGAAGGCTCCGGTTTTATTCTTTAATCATGTATAGCCCCTTTTACAGGCTCCACATTGTTTTGCTTCTTTCTCCACAACCAATGGGAAGTTTTTAAAATCTTCACACATGACCTAAAATAAGGTAGCTGATTTTTCTTTTGACCTCTCACCTCCTATTGTAGGTGCTATTAGAATTAAGTACTTAGATTTTTGTCATTATTTAAAAAAAACGGCACTCTCAGTGGTTGCAGGAGCTGGAGAGACAGCTCAGGAGTTAAGAGGAGCAGCTGCTCTTGCAGAGGACTCAGCTTCAGGTCTCAGCACCACGTGGAGCTCACAACCACCTCAAACTCCAGTTCCAGAGGGCCCATGCTTCCTTCTGTCTCTGGCCACTGTATGCATGGAGCGCACATACATAAGGCAAAACAGTCATACAACAATACAA